AGAGGCAGTACGGACAAGCACACTGCTGCAGATACCCAGGGCAACGCTCCCTTCATGCTTTGCATGGGGATGGGGGCAGTCCTGTGCCAGGAGATTGAGTGAGAGGAGCGAGTGGTAGCATTTGCCTGCCGCAACTGCAGCCCCACCGAGGCAAATTACTGCTTGTATGAAGGCGAGGGGTTGGCAGCTGTATGAGGCATCAACCATTTCAGGGTCTACATGCGGGGGCGTAGGTTTGTGCTGGTAACCGACCATCAGCCCTTGATGTGGTTGATGACGAATCAGGAAATGACAGGACAGAATGCCCGCTGGGCGATCAAGCTGCTGGGATGCGGCTTTAAAATTCGCCACCGCCCGGGCAAGACCCTCTTGCATCCTGACGGTCTGTCTAGGAACCCTCACCTGTGCAGCTTGTGGCACAGCTGGTAGCCGTAGCATAGGTACTAGTAGCTGGCTGGGGGCAAGAGAAAGTGGAAAAGAGGCAGCTAGATGTCTGGGAGGATACCGAGACTCTAAAGTGGATTAAGGGAGGGAGCATGAAGGGCGAGGAGGCCAGTGAAAGGGCAAGGGCCAGGAGGCAGCATTACCGTTGGTACCAAGAGCAGCTACAGCTTCACACCAGTGAGGGATGGAAGATAGTGCCACGGAAGAAGGACAGGGAAAGGATCATGCGGCGGGTGCATGGGAAGCTGGGGCATTACGGAACGGCACGCACCAATCAACTGCTTAGCACAATGTATTGGTGGGCGGGGATAAGGAGGGACGACAAGGAGCTGGTAGATGAGTGTGTAGCCTACAGGCGTAACAAAGCAGCACTGGAGAAGGCAAGGAAGGAGCTGCAGTCACTGCCGATTCGGGGACTGGGCTACCGCTTGTCGCCAGATTTGGCAGGGGAATTATCTTTGTCCAAGAAAGGCAAGCAATACATACTCGTGATGGTGGAGCACACTAGTAAGTGGGTAGAGGCCAGGGCACTGCCGAGCAAGAACAGTGGGCTGATTGAAGAGGCGTTCGTGGAGCAAGTTATCACCAGGTTTGGGACGTGCGGGGAGGTGTTAACTGACCAGGGTACCGAATTCAAGGGCTGCTTTGAAGAGACTTTGCAGAAGTTGCAGATCACTTACCGAGTGACATCAAGGTATCACCCGTAGTCGGATGTGTTGTGTGATGCAATCATATGCATTCACGTCTGTCTGCCTCCCATCATATGTTCGTGCGTTGCATGCGTGGTGTGAGCGTGTGCAAGAATTTGTGTTTTGTGTGGTTTGAATTTTCTGAGTGTGTGCAAATGTTATTTGGCTTGAGCAGATATCTGAACTGACTCCTCTGCTCAAGAGCTTTCCGACGAACCAAGTATCGCTTCAATCGGAGCACGAACAAGAAAGTTACGAACGTTGGAGTTCGTATGCTCTTCATATTTGGTTGTGGTGACTATGGGAAGTTGTGGGGTTGACTCCATAAGGGGTACAGACTTTTGGGGGTTGGGAAATTCGTCAACATTACTGTAGATGCTGCCAAGTGGTTGGGAGAAACCAAACCAGGTTGGCAAGTGTGGCCAAGTTGGGTTAAGGTGGATGGCATGGGTTGGGAAAGTGACAAAAGTGAAAGTGGGGTTGCCTATGGAGAGGGGAATTGTGTGGCATGGGGTTTCCTTGGTTGGGGACTGTCTTGGGACCTTCCCTCTCGTCCTCCTCATCCCATCCCACATGGTTTATTGCTACTCTAACTCTCTTGTGTAGTAATTGTGAACTTGTGTGAGACTCTTGTGATTGAGTTAAGATTCTATGGCAGCATACCCCCTAGTGCGCCGAAATTGATAGCTCAAGAAATACTTCATCTTTTCATATGATTCAACTTGGGAATTGTAGCCATAAATTAGAGCTACAACATATCTAAGTTTGGTGAAGTTTTGACCGTGAACTTTTCGTCGACGGCGTTTCTTGTGAGCGCGACTTTTCTGTCCAGAATTCTAAGCCAACGATTTTGAGAATTTTAGGCACCTAATCTTCATAGACTCCGTCCTTAGTCTGTAACAGGATGGGTTAACGGAGCAGCTGATTCAGACGTTGAAGAGAGGGCTGCGGGTCTACGGGGAGACGAAAAAAAGAGGATGGGACCAGGAGCTATACTGGATCCTTGCGGGTTATCGCTTTGCCAAGCAAGCGGCATTGAAGGACATGTCGCCCTACCATCTACTGTACGGGAGGCACCCCATTCTACCCATAGATGCACCAAAGTTGTTGAGTGCGACGGTAGATGCAGATGAGCCACACCTGTGGGCTGAGCTGGCTAGGAAGAGGGCGGCCTACCTGAAGGAACTGACGGAGGTAGCGCTCGACAACCTCCACGTGGCGCAGCTGAGGGACGCAAGACGTTACCAACAGAGGAAGGCAGTAGAGGATGGAAGCAGGCGTAAGGGAGTGGAGACTGGGGAGGAAGTGTACCTGAGGCAGCCTAAGCGAGATACGCTGGAAGTGCAAGTCGAAAAAAAACGGTGGAAGGTGAAGGAGATGAGGCAGTCCGGGGTGCTGGTGCTAGAGGATGAGCGAGGAAGGCGCATCAAGGAGCATGTCACCAATGTGGCCGGGGCTGGAAAAGGGAAGGGTCAGGCTGTGGGTCCCGAAGCCAGAGTTGCCAGTGCTGGAACTCAGGCACGGGAGGGGGTAGTGCAGCCTGAGAAGCAGGGGGAAAGCAGGAGCGGCATCATCACATACACCAGGAGGAAGAAGAGGCAGACAGACGGCACTGGGGCACGCAAGCAGGCATGAGAGGATGAGGGTGAGAGAAGAAGTGGAGGCACCGGAGAGAAGGGAGTGAGGGAGTGGGTTGGAATCACGACAATTCCCAATGTAGAGTCCTCCCTTTCCGTGATACAGCTTGAACTCCTGAGTGGTGCTGTCTGCTTCGAGGTGGATCTTTTTCGCCATCAGCTAGCTGACGCTGAGTAAGTTGTGGCCGAGTCCCTCCGCGATTAAAACTTTTGACATTTGCATTATGACATTGGTCTCTCTTGACTGAAGTTGAACGATACCTTGTCGTCGTGTGCGCAGGTTCTGATTGTTGGGGACGGTGTTGACGACTTTACGCTGAAGCTGGTGTTCCTTCTGAACGAAGGCTTCTTCAGATATCAATCCTCCACATCGAAGGAGTTTGTCGCGCAAATCGTGACAGCGGCTGATATATGCCATCCCCTTTTTGCCCGATTTCATTTCCACTATTGTCAGCTGTGCCATTAACCGACTGTGATTGACGCTGTCTGCTGCTTGATACAATTTTTTCACATGGTTGCACGCAAGCTCGGCGGAGTTGCCGTATCCCCGATAAGACCGGATGTTCTGCTGCTGGTTTGGAGTTATGTTCCTCAGCAGGATCGTGTATGCCATCATTGACTGATATATGTACTGCTGCTTGTCGTATTGCGTTCCGTGTGTTGCGTATGGCAGGGACCCGTAGAAGAATCCAAGAACCTGCATGCCTTTCATCATCAGCTCAAACTCGAATGACCAGGTATAGAAATCCTTCCCGTCGAAAGGTGTTGATGTATGAAGTTTCAAAACGTGCGCGAACTGTGATTGAACCTGAAGTGCTTCCAATGTTTTCTCCTGTCCATGTTGAGGCTGCTGGTGCGGCATGAAGCTGATCGAGCCACGTTGAGGCTCATACGGAGCGAAGGTGGGTTGGTGCTGGTTTCCGCGCGCATAGGATGAACCGTCGAGGTTCATAGGCGTAGCGTCGTTGTTGTTGAAGCTGATGTTTGACTGCGCAGGTGCCGCTTGCTGATGTTGTTCGTAGAAGGACATGAAGGAGAAGAATTTCCCCATCATGCTTGGGTCGAAGCCTGTCGCATGGTTCGCGGGAGTATCAGTAGACTCAGTTGCTGGTCTTGCTGTACCTCCCTTTGTCTGTAGGCCAGAGGCTGGAGGTAGAGTAGGAGTAGTGCCGAGAGAGCCGTTAGAGGAGCTTCTCTCCTTCTGTTTTGCCATGCCTTCTGATGTTGTAGGAGTTGAAACGAAGCGGAATTTTGCCGTGTTTGCTCTCATACCATGTTGGGCAAAGAAAAGCCCTTAGGATCTTATACACGACTTAACTCTAAGTCGGAATGTTGTAGTTTGCGGAAGCGTTTTAATGATGAGTCTTGAACCACCTTGCACTAGTAGGTGAGGGCAAGATAGATTAATTATAAGAAAGTAATGCAAGCTTTTATAAGATTACAAGGAATATGAAAGGGTACAGCTAATAACTGTTTTACTGTTGCTGTTGCGGTTCGATACAGTGACGACACGGGCAACTGCTCAGTATCGAGTCAGTTGTTTGTCCTTGCTGTCGCGCTGTATTTGTCAGGTCAAAGCTCGCTGACCTTTGACTTTCGCGTAACCTCCAGCAGTTACTTTTCTTAACCTCCGATGGTTGACTCGCCGATACTTCGTTGTGCTTCGCTTTGTTTACGACTTAGTGTTTCGACACAACAAAAGCGCTTAAATCACTTCATCCATGAACAATATTTAATCAGAGTACTTCAAGCTCACACAGAGGCATGAAATGCTTGTCTGGAGCTGCATTGAATGCGTTTAAAAAGACACCAATATCAAGAGGAAAAAAAGACACCAATATTGAATTGCCTTTTCTTAGTTTATTCTTTTTATATTTCACCAATATTGATGCAGAAACATGTCCTGAATGGTCATGTGAAAAATCGCGTGACACAATAGTGTTTGAATAACCAAAAGGTGACACATTAATGTAAAGGATGAGTACTACTACTCCCGCCCTGAACTGTTTCCAACAATTTTAAGACTACTTATGGCCATCGTTTCTAAACAATGTCTAGGTCTTCTTTCTTTCCCTTCACAGTTGCCATCCCCATGACTTCATCTCTTCCATACTTCACAACATCCTGGTTCCACACGATCCAATGTACCCACGGAGAGCAACAGCAGGTGCTCTGAGCCATACACTGGAAGACAACTCCACGCGCATCCTTCCACCCCACACCTCGCCGCTCAACCCCTGTGCCTTGCAGCCTCACGCCCACCACTGGAGCTGCTGGAGGGGCCGGAGGGGCTGCCACCTGAGCGCCTCTCAGTGCCTTTGCCCTGAGAAGAGCGCCTTTGAGGGGAGCGGGAGTGCGGGGAGCGGGAGTGCGGGGAGCAGGAGTGCGGGGAGCGGGTGCGAGGGACGCGGCGCCCCGGTGAGCGCCGCTCACGTGACCTCCTCCTTCCCTCACCTCCCTTTTCCCTGCCCTCACCTCCCTTTTCCCTGCCCTCACCTCCCTTCTCCCTGCCCTCACCTCCCTTCTCCCTGCCCTCACCTCCCTTCTCCCTGCCCTCACCTCCCTTCTCCCTGCCCTCACCTCCCTTCTCCCTGCCCTCACCTCCCTTCTCCCTGCCTTCACCTCCCTTCTCCCTGCCCTCACCTCCCTTCTCCCTGCCCTCACCTCCCTTCTCCCTGCCCTCACCTTCTTCCTCCCTGCCCTTGTCCCCCCTTGCCCGCCTCTCTCTCCTCACCTCTTCACCCCTCTCCTCCACACCTTCCTCCTCCTTTCCCTCATCCCCTTTATACTTGTCTCTCAACCCCTCCTCCCTTGCTCCACCCGTCCCACCACTCGCCTCCTCCGCATGCTGCTGCCGCACACCACTGCTCTCTCCTTCCAGCCCCTTCCCCTTCCCCTCCCCATCCACACCCTCCTCTTTCAGCAGCTCACCATCAGGCGCTGCTACCTTCTCTTCCTTCACCCGCACTTCACTAGTCCCTTCTTTCCTCTCGTCCCTCTCCTCTTCCTCATCCACAACTGAGTCCATCCGCTGATCATCAGAGTCAGACCCTGCACCCTTCTCTCCCTTGGTTGCCTTTACGCCTTCCACCACCTCACCTCCCCCCACCACCTCACCTCCCCCCACCACCTCACCTCCCCCCACCACCTCACCTCCCTCCCCTCCGTCAACCCCCACTGCTTCTCCCCCCCCCACTGCCTGCCCCTCCTCACCACCCTGGGGCAGCATGAGCCTATCAGCTTCTGCCAGGTGGCGCTGCAGCGAGTCCGCCACCAGTTGCTGCACCTTGCGCTCCTGGTTCTGCTGCCACTCCTCCAAGCTCTGCCACCACCCAGTGGGCAGGTGATGGGCGGGATGATGGGCGGGGTGATGGGCGGGCGGGGGGGAAGAAGGGAGATGAGTGGGGGAAAGGAGATGAGAGGCAGAAGGGAGGCAAGAACGAGTCCGCCACCAGCTGCTGCACCTCGCGCTCCTGCTGCTGCTGCCACTCCTCCAAGCTCTGCCGCCACCCAGTGGCGGGGTGACGGGCGGGTGGGCGGGGAAAGGAAGGCCAGAGGGGCGAGGAGGGCAGGGGAAGAGGCGCACGTGGAGATGAGAGTGAGCTCTGTGGCTTGGTAAGGCCCACAGCAGCACAGCAATGAGGCAGCCAGGCAAAGAAGGGGAAGGGGGAGAGCAGAGCAGAAAGCAGGCATGACAAGGAGGCAGGAAGGGTTGCAAAACGTGCCCCGGGAGACGAGGTGCACACCGTGACGGAGCACTTGGAGGTATGCTACATAAAGTATGCAGTAAGAGGAGTCGCAAGCTAAACAAGGAAGATGCAGCAGATGAAATGCGTTCCAGAGCTTATGGGGCCAACACCAACACCAACAGAAGCAGCAGCAAGAGCAGCAGAGGAGCGGATAAATAACCTGGAATGTTAAACGAGTTCACTTGAACAAGAGATACGCCAGATGAAATCCCAAAATCATGATCGACAGGCGATTTTGAGTGCCGCTGCCGAGAACCTGGAGCAAGGTGACTTTTTAGTCGACTCAAAAGTCGCTGTCGAGAACCTGGAGCACCCGCTGCTTTTTCTGCTCGTGGCTTGTTGCCATGCCACTGATCCCACTGCACCCTGCAGCATGCCACCATCTCACCTGCGCCTGTGCCTGCAGTAGCTTGTCAGTGGGTGGCGAGGGACGGGCCGGCAGATACATGATGGGTGGCGAGGCCTGTGTGCTGCCCATGAGGGCGAGGAAGCGATATGAGCGATGGAGTGGGCGGATAGGGGGGACATGGAGAATCGGGAGAGAAGTGGGGGAGGGGAATGAGTAGCGGAGTCCGAGAGGACAGAGAACAAAGAAAAAGACAGATGTGTGACTGCATGAAGTTAACGCCAGTCACACATCAGAACTGCATCCAGGGGAATACCGGCGTTAAGTGCATGCAGAGGGGGAGAGGGACAAAGTGTTGTTTTGAGACGTCTCAAAACAACACCTTTATCACGTTGACTGCATGCAGAGGGGGAGAGGGACAAAGTGTTGTTTTGAGACGTCTCAAAACAACACCTTTATCACGCTGACTGCATGCAGAGGGGGAGAGGGACAAAGTGTTGTTTTGAGACGTCTCAAAACAACACCTTTATCACGTTGACTGCATGCAGAGGGGGAGAGGGACGAAGTGTTGTTTTGAGACGTCTCAAAACAACACCTTTATCACGTTGACTGCATGCAGAGGGGGAGAGGGACAAAGTGTTGTTTTGAGACGTCTCAAAACAACACCTTTATCACGTTGACTGCATGCAGAGGGGGAGAGGGACAAAGTGTTGTTTTGAGATGTCTCAAAACAACACCTTTATCACGTTGACTGCATGCAGAGGGGGAGAGGGACAAAGTGTTGTTTTGAGACGTCTCAAAACAACACCTTTATCACGTTGACTGCATGCAGAGGGGGAGAGGGACAAAGTGTTGTTTTGAGACGTCTCAAAACAACACCTTTATCACGTTGGCTGCATGCAGAGGGGGAGAGGGACAAAGTGTTGTTTTGAGACGTCTCAAAACAACACCTTTATCACGTTGGCTGCATGCAGAGGGGGAGAGGGACAAAGTGTTGTTTTGAGACGTCTCAAAACAACACCTTTATCACGTTGACTGCATCCAGAGGGGGAGAGGGAGAAAGTGTTGTTTTGAGACGTCTCAAAACAACACCTTTATCACGTTGACGCATGCAGAGGGGGAGAGGGACAAAGTGGAGAAAGGATGGAGGAGAGGCAGAGAGAGACAAAGCAGAGAGAGCAGAGAGGAGAAGTGGAGAGCGGAGGCAAGCAGAGGAAAAGCGAGTAACAATGCACGGTGATGAAGGTGCAAGAAAGGGCAACAGCACGCAGAACAGCTTGCGCATGTGGGTACAGCACCCAAGTGCTGTTCATGCTCCCACCACTCATCCTCGCCTCCCCTCCCACCCTTTATCCTTTCCTTCCACCCTTCCTCCTCCCCACCCATCCTTCCACCCTTCCTCCTCCCCACCCATCCTTCCCTCCTCTCCTCACACCCACCTTCCCTTTGAAGCATCTCACCGGATGAAGTGCGAGAGCAGGGAGCGGTGGCGGTGCCAGTGGCGCGCCAGCAGGTGCACCTCCTTCTCCTCCGCCTTGGCCATCAGCCGCGCCCTCAGCACCTGACCATGTGCCGCCCGCAGGGGAGGGGAGCATGGGGATAGGCAAGGTGAGCGTGGGGGCAGGTGAGGTGACGTGACGTGAGGCGAGGAGCGGTGATGCAAGGTGGGCAGGTGAGGTGTTCGTGATGGGTGGGTGGGCGTGGCATGGATGAGACATGCAGGAGACGAAGATACGAAGAGCGGTGGATGGCGTAAACAAGATACGAAGAGTGGTGGATGGCGTAAACAAGATACGAAGAGTGGTGGATGGCGTAAACAAGAGAGGAAGAGACAAAGAGACGCTGAGCATGCATCGTGGACGGTGGCTTTCTGAGAGAAGTGGAATGACGGGCTTTGGGCCATGAAGTGATGAGCAAATGAAGAACCCAATACGCAGGGTCAAGAAGCATATGTGCAGAGAGGTGCAAGGGGTGCAGATGGGTGCAAGATGGGTGTGCGGATTGCATAGAGGTGCAGAGGGGTGCAGAGGGTTGCAGAGGGGTGCAGAGGGATGCAAGGGCATGCAAGAGGCAAGTGTGGGTGCAGGGGGAAAGGGCGCACGAGGTCTCTCTTGCGCTGCTGCAGAATCCTCTCCCTCTCCTGCTCCTTCAGCCGCTCACTCTGCTCCGCCACTCGCTGCTCTGCCTGCTCACCCGGTCCACCCGTGGAACACAGTGCAGCACAGAGGGCAGCACAGAGGGCAGCACAGAGGGCAGCACAGAGGGCAGCACGGAGGGCAGCACAGAGAGCAGCACGGAGGGCAGCACAGAGAGCAGCATGGGAAGAGAAAAGTAACACACATGGCTACAAATGACTTCATCATCCTTTCCATCGCAACCCTTTCAGATCATCACTAACAGCAAACGTCAAGTGAGTAAGTGACATGCAATCTGTGGCATGCATTCAAGATTGTTCCGCTGCGCGCCCATCATCCCCATAACCCCCATCACCCCCATGACCCCCATCAACCCCATGACCCTCGTGCGGCGTGGCGGCCCACCTTCTGCTGAATCATCGCCCTCCGTGCCAGCAGCTCTGCATCCCTCTCCTCCTCCTCTCTCGCCCTCTGGGGGAAAACAGTGATAGGGAGAAAGGGGGCGGGTAAGCTGAGGTGAGGTAGGGGAACCTTGAAATGCACGGGACTATGGAGTGAGTGAGTGAGCAAGTGAGAGAGTGCGTGAGTGAGTGAGCGAGTGAGTGAGTGAATAAGGGAGCGCATGCAGCCTCTATCCAGAACCTCACTACCACTCTCATCCCATGTGTGCACCCATGGCACCACCTGTGAGAAACTCAAGTGTTAATTGTATTAAGGAAACGTTGGGCTTACATAGGAGAAAGAAAAGTGAGGGAACTGGGAGGTGAGCTCCCAGAATTATTGGTTGGCCAACAATGTTGGTTACCCAATAATGGTTGGGGCGAGCCACTTTATTGGCGGACCAATAATTGGTTGGCAAGGGTCACGAAGTGGCCCCCAACAATTGTGGCGTAGGGGGGGGTCGGGGTGGGGCCCCAAACCAAAGTGGTTGGGGTGGTGCCCCAAACCAAAGTGGTTGGGGTGGTGCCCCTCGAAAAAAGTGTACACCCAGAATTGGGTGTAACACTGGCACAACCATAACATCATAGGCTATATTCTAACACCACCTTTCTCACCTGCAGCGTGCCTACTCCCCACGCCCACCTGCAGCGTGCCCACAAGCAGTGCTCCCAACATGTTGCGGTGGCGGCGCCGGGCCACGGGGTCCAGCTGCACCACTGGGCGCGGAGGGGCGGGCGCAGGCTCATGGGCGGACAGAGGAAGCGCGCCCGGGGAGGATAGGGGTGCGGAGGCATGTGCAGGCGGAGGGGGAGGGGCAGTGGGGTCTGCGGGCACGTCGTGAGCGGTGCGGCGTGGTTCGATTGGGTCGATGGGCTCCCCGTCCGGCCCCACCTGCATGCAGAGGGTGGCGCAGCAGAGGGTGGCGCAGCAGAGGGTGGCGCAGCAGAGGGTGGCGCAGCAGAGGGTGGCGCAGCAGAGGGTGGCGCAGCAGGGGGTGGCGCAGCAGAGGGTGGCGCAGCAGGGGGTGGCGCAGCACAGGGTGGCGCAGCAGGGGGTGGCGCAGCAGAGTATGTAGAGGGACAAGGATGGGTGGATGCACATGTGTGCGTGAGTGCGTGCACAGCAGGAGCATGTCGGACATGAGCGTTGCAAACCTGCTCCAATGCTCTCATGCCTGCCACTCCTGCCTGGCACACTGCTGCCATGCCAGCTTACTCTCGTGCCACACACACGTTTGTCACCTCCCCTTCCCTTCCCTTCTCCCTTCTTCCCCCTCCTCCTCACGACCACTTCCTCCATACGCATCACTTCACCATCAACTCTCCTTCCCTCCGCTCATCACGCGCACTTCACCCCCCTCCCTCGATTCCCTTCTCTCCCATATCCCCCAGCCCCCATTCCCCGTACCCGAGTGACTGCTGACATCAGCCGCCGTCTTTTGGTGCCCCCTGCCATGTCACCATCCGGCAACGCGGCATCGGACTGCAGTAAGGGGGGAGGGAAGGGAGAAGGCGGGAGAGGTGGGGAAGGGGGGGAGAGGCGATGAAGACGGGAAGGGGCAGGGACAGGGGGGGAGAGGCGGTGAAGACGGGGAGAGGCGGGGACGGGGGAAGAGGCAGGGAAGGGGGGTAGAGGCGGGGAAGGGGGAGAGAGGCGGGATGAGTGTATGACTGCAGCATGGGCGGTGGAATGAAATAATGCGTGCATGGGTTGAGAGAAAGAGAGCACACAGGGCGGGGCGCACGGGGGCAGGGCAGCACCGCACACAGAGGGCCAGCAGGGCGGGGGCTGGCCAACAGGAACAATGATTCCTCCCCACCCCATCCCACCTGTGTGCGCCGCGCGAACGACAGCCCGCCAGCGCGACCGCCGGCGCCGCCTGCGGGGTCGGAGGCGCCTCCGGGGTGCGGGAAGCGACGGGGCGCGCGGAGCGGCTGTCCGCGGATGGCGGGGGGAGCGGGCGGCAGCGAGCGCCTTATGCTGGGCGGAAGGCGCGAGGTGATTGTGCGGAGACTGTCCTCCACCTGCAGTGTGGGCGGAGGGTGCGCGGGCAGGAAAGAGAGGAGACGGTTGAGCAGCGGTACAGCGATACGCGGAATCGGTGCGTGCGTGAGGCGGCACGGTGCGCGCGTGGCGGAAAGGTGAAATCGCAAAGCCGATATGAGGGTCGGCGAGAAGGGAAAGGCGCGGCGCGCAGGGCACGGATGAGCCCGCCCCGACGAGCGCACGCACCTGCGCCTGCTGCCGTTCGATCTCCTCAATCTCGCGGCGCAGCTCCTCCTCCGACTTCCCGCCGCCCACCGCCACCGCCGATCCCGCCATGGCAACTCCTGCGAAGGCGACGAAAACGACGGCGGCGCCTCTCTCGACGAGGCTTACGCTGGCCAAACGACCGAGAATTGCGGGGATCGGCGCGGAAATAGCCCTTGACACCAGTCAGTGTGGTGAACAGAGTGATCACTAGGAACAATCGCGAATTGCAATTGCATGACCATTTGTTGTGCGAAACGGGCGCAATCGTTCGCGAGCACGAAACTCGTTACACACAAGGGCAGAAAACATCTGTATCCATAACTTGAAGTTGTTTCTTTCGGTAGTGGTCATATTTATGCACAAACCAAGGAAAATCACTGTGTTCCATATATCTTACAATCAGGAGAAAAGCCAATATGTGACCATGTGGGTCACTATTAACACAGTGGGTCACTACAAGGGAGCAGGAGCATCAGATGAGGTCGGCGACATTCATGGGCATTTCATCGATCTGTGTGCTGTAGTACTGCTCTATGTCCCGCAGAATACGAATGTCATCACTCCTCACGAAGTTGATCGCCACACCCTGCCGTGCCAATGCACACGGGGACGAGGAGGGGGGGGGGGGGGGGGGGAGGGGAAGGGGGAGAACATGGGGGGGAAAGATACGGGCAGAAGAGGGAGCACCAGAAGGAGGGGTTGGGATGGCCGGAGGAAGGAAAGGAGGCGGAAGGGGCGAGGGGGGGTGTTGGACTGGGAAAGTGGGGAAGGCAGCAGAAGTGCAGGGAAAGAGGGGGGAGTGTGGGCGGGAGAAAGGAGTGGCACTGAGGACGGCCTGTGGCGGCGCTGACCTTTCTACCGAAGCGACCGGAGCGGCCGATGCGGTGGATGTAAAGCTCTCGACTGTTGGGGAGATCGTAGTTGATCACCAGTGACACCTGCGCGTGGGAAGGGAGAGGGGAGGGGAGCACAGAGGCAGCAGCAGAGGCACACAGTGAGGGCGGAGCACAGTGGCATGGCAGCAGCTCCCACCCAGTGCGGTGGATGTAGAGCTCTCTGCTGTTGGGGAGATCGTAGTTGATCACCAGTGACACCTGCGCGTGGGGGGGAGAGGGGGCAGCAGCAGGCGATGAAGACGGTGAAGGGAGAGAAAGTAATGCAAGGCGGAAAAGGCGGGAGACGTTTCCAATGCGGTGGATGTAAAGCTCTCTGCTGTTGGGCAGGTCGTAGTTGATCACCAGTGATACCTGGGCGGGGACGAGGGGGCGCACAGGCAGCAGAGGGACACAGAAAAGGCGGATCACATTGGCAGCAGATCTCATTCCTGTAGTGTGTGTTGCTCTCTGCCTGCACTGCACTGCACTGCACTGCACTGCACTGCACTGCACTGCATTGCACCGCGTGCTGCCAGCACGGAATTCAGTCATGATGGCGTCGCGCTCCTTCTGAGGCATGTCACCAAACATGCCGTTGCTAACCCATTCACACAGAGATCCCCCCTCCCCCTCCCCCTCCCCCTCCCCCACCACCCCACCCCCAACCTTCCCCCTATCGTCCAACCCCCAGCCAGTCCCACCTGTTGCACGTCAATGCCTCTAGCCCACACGTCAGTGGTAATGAGAACACGAGTGGTGCCGGCGCGGAACTCGGTCATGATGGCATCGCGCTCCTTCTGGGGCATGTCGCCGTGCATGGCGGACACGGTGAAGTTGTTGGCTCGCATCTTCTCCGTCAGCCAGTCCACCTTGCGCTTCGTGTTGCAGAAAATCACCGCCTGGTGGGGGGGAGGGGGAAGAAGGGCACATGGTGCGGTGGGGTGGGTGGGCATGAGGGGAATGTTGTACCAGGCGCCGCAGTGCACCGCAGTGCAGTGCACCCCACAAGAGGCACACCAAGCGGGTGGGGGAGGGAAGGGGTGAGGGGCGTGGGGAGGTGGGGAAGTGGGGGGTGGCGGAGAGCAGACGGTGTAAGGGGAGTAATAATGTTCTTGGAATGGAGAAATGTTTTGGCGTGAGCGGGAGAGCGTGGGAGAGAGGGAGAGGCAAGCAGAAAGAGGGTCACGTGCGAATGGCAGAGTGGCAGGGCCAAGTGACAAAAAACAATGGATGATGGTGAGTGCGGCATGTGCCCTGGGTGATGGAGAGTGTGGCAAGCACGTGCCTGGGTGATGGAGAGTGTGGCATGGCAAGCACGTGCCTGGGTGATGGTGAGTGTGGCATGGCAAGCATGTGCCTGGGTGATGGTGAGTGTGGCATGGCAAGCACGTGCCTGGGTGATGGTGAGTGTGGCATGGCAAGCACATGCCTGGGTGATGGAGAGTGTGGCATGGCAAGCACGTGCCTGGGTGATGGTGAGTGTGGCATGGCAAGCACATGCCTGGGTGATGGAGAGTGTGGCATGGCAAGCACGTGCCTGGGTGATGGTGAGTGTGGCATGGCAAGCACGTGCCTGGGTGATGGTGAGTGTGGCATGGCAAGCACGTGCCTGGGTGATGGTGAGTGTGGCATGGCAAGCACGTGCCTGGGTGATGGTGAGTGTGGCAAGCACGTGCCTGGGTGATGGAGAGTGTGGCATGCACCCTAAACCCTAAACCGTGAACCCTGCACGTGCCTGAGTGATGGTGAGAGTGTCATAGAGGTCACAGAGCGTGTCAAACTTCCACTCCTCGCGCTCCACCGCCACAAAGAATTGCTTGATGCCCTGCCAGCCATGGGGGGAGGGGCAGTGAGGCCATAGTGGGGGAGGGAGTGGATGGGGGGCAGAGAGGGGATCGGTTTGCAGAGAGCCAGGGTGAAGAGCGTGAAAGGCATGCGGGCGCTCACAGTGCATGTCCATCTGTATTCCACCAGGCCCCACTGCAACACACAGTGCACACTGCCATCCCTCCACACTGCCATCCCTCCACACTGCCATCCCTCCACACTGCCATCCCTCCACACTGCCATCCCTCCACACTGCCATCCCTCCACACGCCTCTTCCACCTCGAGCGTGAACCCCTTTACCCCCCCCCCCCTCTCTTCCCACACCTAGAACGTGAGCTTGTCTCAACCACCACCCTCCTTTTCTCCCTTGCGCATGAATCCCTCCTCCCAACTTACCTCGAGAGTGAGCTCATCACGCTTGACAAGAATGCGCACGGGGTCAGTCATGAACTTGTTGGTCATCTCCAGTATCTCGTGGGGGAGCGTGGCTGACACCAGCACCACCTGTGCGGGGAAGGGAAAGGGAGTGTGGGTGGAAAAAGGGGGAGTGGGGGGAGGAGAGGGAGGAGGAGAGGGGAGAAGGGGCATGGTGGGGGGAGGCGGTCAGTCATGAACTTGTTGGTCATCTCCAGTATCTCGTGGGGGAGCGTGGCTGACACCACCAGCACCACCTGCATGGCGAGGCGGTAAAGAGGAGGGGTGGGGGGGGGGCGGGGGGTAGAGGGAGGGGAGGGGAGAGGGGGCATGGTGGGCGTGAGGGGGAGTGGTGGAGTGAAGTGGGCGGCGACGAGCACGAGGGAGGTGAGCCTTGGCAGGTGGAAAGCGGGAGAGGGGGAAGCAGGGCGGAGAGAATGGGGAATGAACCTGCGGGGAGGTGAGGTGAGATGCAAAGGGCAGCGAGTGGTGCTCGTGAGTGTGTGAAAAGGCGGAGCAGAATCGAAAAGTCTGGGGATATGAGAGGGTGAAGAGGCAAACCGATTGCCATGGCCTGATCACCCCAAGCCCGTCTGCAGCTCTGGCAGCAGCCTCAAGGCAGGCAGCGCACCTGAGGCTGCGCTCAAGCCCAGCTGCACCTCTGCTGTGGTGTGGCACGAAGCAGCAGCGCACGCAACGCACCTGCAGCTCTGGCGGGAGGTAGCGGTAGATGTCGTAGATCTGGTCCTTAAAGCCCATGTTGAGCATCTCGTCCGACTCGTCCTGCACTCACCAGCACCACGCCACGCCACCACAGCCCAGAGGCGGACAGTGTGAGACGACATAGGCAGGCAGGGGGGGGGACAAAGTACAAGGAAGCGTGTCCATCAGCACACATAAGGGACGCAAGAGGAGAAGGGGCAGGAGGAGGGGGGGCGGGAGGAGAAGGGGCAGGAGGAGAAGGGGCAGGACGAGAAGGGGCAGGACGAGAAGGGGCAGGAGGAGAAGGCGGCGCACCAGAATGAGGAGTTTGATGGCTCGTGTGCGCAAGCTGCGGCGCTTGATCATGTCGTACACTCGCCCTGGCGTGCCCGATACCACCTGCGCGTTGCATCATGCCCGCACCAACGCATGGCCCCCACACACATGATCACGCTCACGCGCATGCACAAACGGGAGGAAGGAGTGTGACGAGATGCTGCAGCGGCAATAGGAGTGCGGGGAGGGGAGTGCGGGGAGGGGAGTGCGGGGAGGGGAGTGCGGGGAGGGGAGTGCAGGGAGGGGAGCGCGGGGAGCGCAGGGAGGAGAGTGCGGGTGGGGAAGCGCGGGTAAGAGCGTGCGCAGGGAGGGAGGCAAGTGAGCCGCGCTGCCGCTAAACGCAACTCTTTCTCACGAGACCCGCCAGACAGAGCCACCACAACTCCACCTCCAATCGACTCGACAGCTCGCCTCTGCGCGCTACAATCCAGTCCGCGCTACCTCACTCGCCTGCCTGTGGCTTCCAACTGCGCGCCGCTGACCTTCCCCTCACCTCCCCCGCGCCGCCACCTGCAGCGCGGATGCGCGTCGCACCTGCACGCCGAACTCGAGCTTGCGGATGTCCTCGCCGATGGAGCGGCCGCCGATGCAGGCGTAGGCCTGCACGTTCATGAAGTCGCCCACCGCCAGCACCGTCTTCTCCGTCTGCACCGCCAGCTCGCGCGTCGGCGAGAGGATTAGCGCCTGCGTCCTGCGATCGCAAGCGGGCGTGTTGAGGGGACGGAGAGGGGGTGTGAAGGGGCGAGAGCGCGCTGAGAGAAGCACTGTGACACACCGAGGTGCGTACAAGGCGCGGAGAAGCACACGCGATACAGACGAGCACGAGATCTCATTCGCTGCTTCACAATTGAGCCCTGCATGGCCTGCCGTCTTTGCTCAGCGCGGCGCGGCATGGTGCGGCGACTCACTCTCTGGAGCTCGTGTCGATCACTTGGCAGACTGCAAGGCCGAACATGCTCGTCTTGCCCGTGCCGGACTGGTTTTGAGCTGGCGAATCACTACCTGACGCTCATATCGACTCACTCTTTCGAGCTGGCGACTCACTCTCTAGAGCTCGTATCGACGACTTGGCACACAGCGAGGCCGATCATGCTCGTCTTGCCCGTGCCGGACTGCGCCTGCGCGATGACGTCACGGCCGGCAATAATAGGCTTGATGGCGCGCTGCTGGATGGCGGACGGCTTCTCGAAGCCGAACGCGTAGATTCCGCGAAGCAGGTCCTCGCGGATGCCCATCTGCTCGAACGACGACAGCACCTGCACGCCCTTGCTCGTCTCGAACACCAGACTCTCGTCGCCCGCCAGCTGCTCGCCGCCTCCGCCGCCGCCGCGCGCTGCCGCCATGGCGGAAGGGCGGTGTGTTTGGTAAGGAGGTGTGGTGTGGTGTGGTGCGCGACGAACGCGTGTGACGTGCTGTGAGTGCTGCTAAGACCAAGGGAGGAATGTAGTGGTCGCGTCGCAATCGGAAACCCTTGGGAGCGAGACGCGGGGAGTGTCGAGAAGGTGAAAAAGAATCGGCTCAAGAAGGGAGTGAGGTCAAATGAACTCTTTTAGGGTTTTCCTGGGACCAAAGGGCATCCTCGATGTTAGACCGCAAAACTCTCTGTTTAACGAGAAGATGATCAGAACTCGCAAGAACAGAGAACTAAGATAATAAACCAATTAGGATGACAAGATTTGCTATAATTCCGTGCCTGTCTTATTTCAATAGGATTAATTATGCTGGTGTTGGATTGAGAATTTTGATGGACCTTCCTCCGCATTCTATGTTAGAGTTAGCATTACAGGTAGCAACTATACTCATTGACTTCCATCTTGGCAACACTAGTCTAAGGTGATATACCGTACAGCAGAGAGAGCCCATTAAATACATCCGGGCACATACCAAACAAATCACTGAACGGCGGCACTCCCACTTGCTGCCCATCTGAGCACTGGTGCGGCTGCGGGGGGTGCTGGTAGCACGGCTCCAACGGGGCCGGCTGGCAGCCCTGCGAGACAAAAAACGCCGGCCGGCCGAAGAGCGAGGAGAGGAGGTACCCAAAGGTGGAGGTGGGGAAGATGAGAATGGCGTCAGAGGCGAGCGCGAGGGTGTAGATGTCTATGATGGCGTGCTGCACCTCCGTGTCTAGCCCGGTTTGAGCTGTCTCTGTGGTGAGCCGGTCGAGAGAGAAGGTGCCGTTGCTGATGATGCTGCTGTTGGTGATGTCGCTGCTGCTGGCGGGGATGCTGATCACTGTGCTTACCGGGGTGAAATCTGGGGTAGCCGCGCTGCTGCTGCTGTTGATGTTGGTGGTGGTTTCTGTGCTTGTGGTGATTGCAGTGGTGCTGCTGGGGTCTGTTGCAAGAGAGTCGGTTTGAGTGCTGTTGTCCGCGCCCGTGCTGCTGTCACTAGTGTCATTGCTGCTGCTGTCACTAGTGTCATTGCTGCTGCTGTCACTAGTGTCATTGCTGCTGTCTGTGACAATAACCTTGGTGTAAGTGAGTGGGGAGGAGGGAGCATTGGGGAAGAGCAGCAGCGAGAGGTTGTAGGGAGCATACTCGTAGAGAGCAGCAATGAGCACAACGGTTGAGCTGCTCGACCCCCTCACACCGCCTCCACTCTCACCCATGCTGCCACTGCCTTCCGGAGCAGCAGCAGCACCAGCAGCTGCAGCGGCGGCGGCGGCAGCAGCAGCAGGTGCGCCCCCCTCTTGTAAAGCGAGAGCAACCGCAACGGCAGCAGAAGTCCCTTCCTCCGACGCCACACCCATACCATATGCCGACGTCGCCTCACCCGTCCCTGCTGCTACTGCTGCTGCTGCTGCTACTGCTTCCCCACTGCCCCCCGCTGCACCACCCTCACCCGCTCCCCCCACGCCTCCCACCGCCCCCACCCCACCAGGCTCCCCTCCCGGCTCCCTCTCCCCCTCCCGTTTCTCCCTCTCTCTTCTCGCCTCCGCCACAGCATCCCCCTGCGCCACCTGCACCACGCATTCTGCCGCCTGCGATATAATATCCGCGCTGCAGTGCCGCAGCTGCAGCCCCACCCGGGCGGCGGCCGGCGCCGCCCGGCGGTGAATGTTGTCCGTTATGGCCGCCCAGAGGCGGTTGTTGGGGAACATGACGAGCTGGGAGACGGTCTGGAAGATGTGGCCCGAGGGGAAGAGGTCTTGTATGTGGCGGTGGAAGGAAGGGTGGTGGAAGAGCGAGGGCAGGAAGAACTGGTTGGCCAGGAGTAGGATTGAGGGCACGCGGGCCAGCCACTGCTGCTCTGAAGGGCAGAAGAAGAGGCTCGTGTTCTGCTCCGTGTGATGCAGGCTCACCTGCGCGCTGAGGGGGAAAGGAGGGGTGGTGGAAGAGGGAGGGTGGGAAGTATTGATTGGGCGAGGAGTAGGATTGAGGGCACGCAGGCGAGCCAGGTTTGCTCTGAGGGGCAGAAGAAGACGTTCGTGTGTTACTCCGTGTGATGAAGACTCACCAGTGCGCCGCTGGGGAGCAGGGGGGTTGGGGAGAAGAGTTTAAAAGTTGACTCAAGAGTCACTGGAGGCGCAGAAGAAGATGCTCGTGCTGCGCTCCGTGTGGTGCAGGCTGATCATTGCGCTGGCATGGGGACGTGGGGAGGAGTGGGGACGTGCATGGGGAGGGTGGGAGCGGGGATGGGTGGGTGGGAAGTAGAGAAGGAAATGGGATGATGGTGACGTGAGGAAGGGAGCCAGTGGCATTCACAAATGTTGGCCCTCGTTGGTTATTGTATGTCTCAAAAGTCAACTGCCTCATATGTGGGGCTCACATGTTAGGAACGTCCATGGTGTCACTGGTGCCGTTCTGTACAGCCGCCACTCGATCCGGGAAGTACTGATAAGCGATGCGCATGCCCACCAGCGTCGCATCCCACCGCTCGTTCGGCACGTCCGAGTAGACGAACCACGGCGCGCCCTCGAACGGCTGGCACATCAGCTTCGCCGGCCCCATCCCCGTTAAGAGCAGAAACACGCGGTTCGTTAGCAGCGCGTACACAAACGCGGACACCAGCGAGATGAACTGGTTTCCCTGCCCGTCGCCGGGCTTGAAGTGCCATAGCAGGTATCTGCACTCCGTCGCGTTCCCCGCGCGCAGCTTTGTCTTCAAGGACGTGATGTCTTCCTTCGCGTCGCACTCGCGCCGGTACTCGTGGTACGCGCGGAGCTTGCGCTTGAGCGTCTCGGAGCGCGCCGCCATGCCGCGGCTCCCCGCGTAGCACGGCATCTCCGCCTTGCTCCAGCACTGGTGCGCCGGGCGCTGGTAGCGGTGCGCGTGGTCCCCCGCGGAGCGCGAGAGCGGCGAGAATAGCGGGTCCGACGAGTCGCACTCTGGAAAGCGGGGGAGTGGGAAACCGGGAGGGACGCGGGGGAGGGGGAGAATGGAAGGGAAGGCGGAGGGGAGCGTTGGGGGTTGAGCGCGAGAGCGGCGAGAATAGCGGATCCGACGTGTCGCACTCTGGAAAGAGAAAGGGAGCGCGCGGGGAGGGGAAACCGGGAGGGACGGAGAGTGGGGGAGGGGAGGAGGTGTGAAAGAGAGGGGAAGAGAGGTTGGGGGAAGGGGGGTGGGTTGGTGAGTTCGGGAAGAAGTGAGGTGGCGGATGTTCGTGCAAGCGGTTGCTACATCTCTTGAGGTGCCTCAAAAGTAGCAGTTGCTACATCTCAAAACTGCTCGAGGATCGAACGGTGAGCGAGCGATCCTGAATTGGCACAGACGGGTGGCTTGCAGCGCTGGGATGAATGCGCGGTCGATCCGCACCGTGCAGCGCCGGAGCGTCGGTGGACGGCGCGACTGGACGAATGAGTCCCGCCAGGACGATCGCCGCCACTAGCGACAGCAGCGCAACGCCATGGTGGCTCCGCGCGCGAAACGCGCCGACTCTGCCATGGCCTTGCGAGCGGGTCATTCTGCGCGCAGGGGGCAGGCTTGAGCAGCGGGAGGGTGCGCAGAGAATGCGCGGGTCATTCAGCGCGCGGGAAGCAGGCTTTAGCGGCGGGAGGGATGCGGAAACGGGTGCACCCAATCGACGAAGGCACGCTTGATGCGAAGATTAGGACGTAGTGTTGAGAGGTACGTTTGAATGGCGGCTAGGGAGTTCGTGACATAGGCGTCGGAGGTGCGGGGTGGGTGGGGGAGTTGAGATGGTTTGATGGGATGGTTTGCTGCATTTGTGGGACGATGGCGAGACGATCAGAGTGGAGGTAACTGATGTTACCTGACGAGCCAGGTGTTAGGCGAAGTTTTGGAGCTTGATTGTTACACGTTCGCAACTATGTTATGTATCGAATCAGAGTAGTAGCGCGGAATTCAATAACAGGACGTGACTCAAGAGTCCGAATACAAATGAAAGGCTACGGCACTTTATAGGCACAATTACGCTAGCCGAGAACCTCGCAACTAGGTTGGGGCGACTCGGGTGACGAAAGCCACGGAACAGCCCCGCATTTAGGTTTGGTTGCGCTAGAGTGGTTCGGGACCGAAAAGTTAGGCCGAGCCTAGCCTTCCGAAGTCCAAGGGCGTACGCGCTGTGGTTGAGCTCAGTAAGGAAAAGGATTTTCCTTACACCACCCCCCCCTCCTGAGATGAGACTACCCACATCTGGGACATGTCGTCGGCGTAAATAGTCCCGAACTGCAGGGTGTGAACCGAGAGTGTCGGCCGAGATCCAGAGGTCGTCTTCGCTCGTACGATCGACCCATCGGACCAGGAAATCGACGGCTGCTGAAGCTCGTTGTCCCCGGACCCTGTGAGCCAGAATTTTATCCGGTTCGGTCGTGGGTTCGGGAACCGGGCGAACCGTCGGATATAGGCGTTGACGGTCGAGATCACTCGTGTTGGAGACGAACGGTCGCAGGAGACTGACGTGGAAGGAGTCGTGTATTCGCCAGTCGTCAGGGAGTAGCAGCTGGGCGGTGACAGGTGTCACCATGCGGATAATGCGAAAGGGTCCGCAAAATCTTGGGCGTAGTTTATTTGGGAGGGGCACCCCCAAATTTCTGGTGTCGAGCAGGAATAATTGCCCTGGTGCGAGGGGAAGATCCCGTCGTCTTCGGTCAGCATTCCGCTTAGCGATCTGGTTGGCTTTGTTGATGGCTTCGGCGGCGTTTTGCTGATGCTTACGTAAAGTCTCGACGAAACGCTGCGACCTTGGCGCCGGATTTTCGATCGGTGGCGACAGCGGGGTCACAGGGTCTAGCCCGTAATTCAGGAAGAATGGTGACTGGTTGGTCGTCGCCGAAGGAGCATTATTATACGCGAACTCAATCAAGGGAAGAGATTCTTCCCACTGTGTCGGGTCGGTGCACGTGGTGCGTATCAGCTGCTCCATTGTCTGATTTGTCCGCTCGGTCTGGCCGTCCGATTGAGGATGGTAGGCCGTCGATAGGTGCAGGCGCGTGCCGTACTGGTCCCACGTTTTCGTCCAGAAGTTGGACGTGAAGCGCGGGTCTCGGTCGCTGATGATCGCCGATGGGATGCCGTGGAGGCGGACGACAGTCGCCAGGAATGATTTGGCAGTTTCTTCGGCTGTGATCGTCGTCTTGCATGCGGCGAAGTGAGCCATCTTGGTCAGGCGATCGACGACGACGAGAATCGCGTCGTTACCACTGGGGCCGGCCGGTAATCCTGTGACGAAATCCATCGTCACTTGTTGCCAGGGTCTGGTAGGTGGCGCGAGCGGTTGCAGCAATCCAGCTGGCCGCAGGCGGGAGGACTTCATCAGCTGACACGTGGCGCACGAGGTGACATACCGCTGCACGTCGTGGGTTAACTCCGGCCAGTAATAATGACGACCCAGAGTTTTTGCAGTTTTGTCGACCCCGTAGTGACCCGAGAGGTTTGAGTCGTGGGCTTCCTGTATCAGTAGCTCCCGTAGTAGTCGATAAGCGGGGACCCAAATCCGATTGGTACCGGATTTTAGATAATAGGGCCCTTGCTTAGCGACGAGTGGGCTGTTGGTGCTGGTGGTGAAGAACGGATCAGTGTTGTAGCCGTGGGTGAATAGGCCGGTTAATAGTGGGTTGGTCTGGGTAATCAGTACAGCGGCGGTGTGGGCAGATGGACGGGTCAGGGCGTCGGCGATGTTATTTGCCCCCCGTTTGTAGGTGACCCTGTAGTGAAAATTGGACTCGAGGTAGTCGAGCCAACGGGTCTGTCGTGGGTTCAGTGTCGGTTGTGCGCGAATGAACTGTAGTGACTTGTGGTCTGTCCGTACTGTTACGTCGGCCCCGGTTAGATAGCAGCGCCAGGTTTTGAACGCGTGGACGATCGCCAGTAACTCCTTGTCATGAACCGGATAATTTCGCTCGGCCGGGTTCAGCTTGCGGGATTCGTAGGCGATGGGCTGGAGTCCGTCGCCGAAGTCTTGTAACAGCACCGCGCCGACAGCGATGTCCCTAGCGTCGGTGACGAGCTCGAACGGACGGTGAGGATCAGCTATCCGAAGAACCGGCGGGGTCGTCAGAAAAAGTTTGAGTGCGTCGAACGCAGCCTGCTGTTCTCCCCCCCATTCAAAAAACGCGCCGTTCTTCAGCAGGTCCGTGAGCGGGGAAGTCACCCCCGCCATGTTCGGGATGAACCGGCGGACGTAATTCACGAACCCCAAAAAACTTTGGAGTTCCCGCAAATTAGACGGCGGCTTCCATTCTTGAATGGTGCTGATCTTCTTGGGGTCGATTTTAACGCCTTCGACGGAGATGATGTGGCCGAGGAACTCCAGTTCGGGTTTTAAAAACTCGCACTTAGATCCCTTGGTGATGAGGCGATTTTGCTGCAGTAGCGTGAAGACTTGGTCGAGGTCCTTTAAGTGCTGCTCCCGGGTGGTGGAATAGACGAGGATATCGTCTAAGTACACTATGACGCACTTGTCCAACAGCGGCCGAAAAATCTCGTGCATGGTCAGCTGGAAGGTTGAGGGCGCGTTTGTCAAACCGAATGGCATGACTGTGTACTCGTAACTCCCGTACCGGGTACGAAACGCGGTCTTGTAGCAATCTGCCTCGTCGACGCGAATCTGGTGGTAACCCCCTCGCAAGTCGATTTTCGAGAAGAATTTTGCTCCGCGAAGCTGGTCGATGAGTTCGTCGGCGCGTGGTATCGGGTATCGGGATTTAATTGTAACTCGATTCAGCGCCCTGTAGTCGATGCACATGCGAAGGCCCCCATCCTTCTTCGGTGTGAACAGGATTGGGGCGGCGAACGGAGACGTGCTGGGCCGGACGAAGCCTTTCTCCAACAGGTAGTCAAGTTGTCGACGTAGTTCCTCCAGCTCAGGTTGCGTCAGCCGCCACTGTGTCCGCACGGTTGGCTGCGCGCCGGGTTCGAGTTGGATCTTGTGGTCCTGGGGGCGTTGAGGTGGTAGACCGGCGGGCAGGTCATCTGGAAAAATGGTTGGGTATTTCCGAATGAGTTTCGCCAGGTCGTCGGGTACGCCAGCGCACAACTTTTCGATGTCGGGGGTATCGTCGACGGTCGTTGATGTGATCCATCGGACGGCGTAGAGTTGTGCGCCCCGAATCATGGCGCGCTTGATCGTCACGGCGCTGACCGTCGATGTAGTCGCTTTAGGTCCACTCCACCGGGGTAGTCGTCGCCACTCGCCGCCCCACTTGATGCGACAGTCGCCCGTTCGCCAATCGATGCTCGGGTTGTACTCTCGCAGCCAATCGCGCCCCAGCAGCATGTCGCAGCCATCCAGAGTCGTCGCCAGCATCTTCGTCGTGAAAGTGAAACGTTCGCCGCATGTGACTCGAACGTGTGGCACCCGTTCTCGAATCGCCAGTGGTGTACCGTCGACCAATCGCGCGTCGATCTCCGGCATGCACCGCTCCAATTGTAATCGCAGCTTCTTCGCTTTTGTCACATCCATCAAACTGTGGCTCGCTCCACCATCAACAAATATTTTTATTTTATTATCCCCAACTCTTCCTTCTACCAGCACAGGGTGATCAACAGGTTCACCCCCCTTATTCAGCCAGGAGTGGTCGACTGCATAAATCGGCACTACTACCTGGTGGGGGTGGTGGTGTTTGGGCGACGCAGTCAAGTCAGCAGGTGGCCCATCAGCTACTGAATTTTTCCATTTCCCGACTGCTTCCCGTCGTTAGCTAAGTCCTTCTTAAGCGCCGGGCAGTCCCGCACCATGTGGCCCGGCTGGTTGCAGTTGAAACAGCGACCGGTAAACACCCGGGCTGCCATCGCGTCCACGCCGTTGATGGAAGGGTGTTGTTGCTGGCCTCGAAAACGATTTCCCTCCCGGAAACTCGTCCTCGCGAATGCCCGCCGCGCGTCCAGCGCATCTGCCAACTCGACGAGCTCCGAGAAATTCGCTGGGCGTCGCACTTCAACTTCCAGCTGTATTTCCGGTTTCAATCCCGCCACGTAGCGGTCCATCTTCTCGTCTTCGTTCATGCCGTTGATCTGGTCGCAGAGTGCTAGGAACGACGCGGTGTATTCTTGAACAGCTCCCAACTGACGCCATTCCCGAAGCCTCGCACGAGCGTGTTTGCGCGCGGATATGTGCTCAAACCGCTTTTTCAAGGCTTCGCCCCACGCTCGCCACGTGAGGTTCATGGCCGATCCGAAGATTGGGACCGCCATTGCTTCAGACGACTGTTGCTCCCCAGCTACCGCCCGTTGATGTCCTGCCGAGGCCCCTCCCTCTGCGAGTTGCATGCGCCACCAGTCGAGTGCCGGTCCTCTCAGCAGTGATACAGCAAAATTCACACGTGTTGCATTGTCGTGAATATTAGCTGCATTAAAGAAGATCTCAACAGCAAACAACCACCCGCTCAATGTTGTGGTTTTATCGGTCGGATTGAACGGCGGGGGCGTGGCAGGTTTAACTTTAATAACTGCTCGTTGCCCACTGTTGATTTCTTCTGTTGCTTCAGGTGTCGCCGACGTTCTCGCTTCGCTCGCAACATCCTCGTCTCGGGTAACAGGCCGCCTCTGACGCGTCTCTCCACGCGCCTGGCGAAGTGATGAGTTTTCCTCGCGCAGCGTCTGAAGTTCGCCATCGAGCGATTCGAACTTCGCCATGAGTTGTTGGAGTTGCGACTGTAGCGTCGTCACCGTGGCCGCCCTCGTCTGCAACTCGTCAAACTCCTCCTGTGTCACGTTCCTAACACTACGGCGGGCAGAGGATTCCAGCTCACTCGTCATGCTGGAACAGTTTCACCTAACAGATCTGAAGGTGCACACGCTTCTAGTCGTAGGAGCTTTAATTGAGCTCACCTACCGACCGCAGGCCAACCTTCTATTCTGTCAGGTCCTCGCCCGATATAAACGGACTCGCCTACGGAAGACTAAGCGGGCAGGAAAGTAGCTCTGATACCAGCTGTTATGTATCGAATCAGAGTAGTAGCGCGGAATTCAATAACAGGACGTGACTCAAGAGTCCGAATACAAATGAAAGGCTACGGCACTTTATAGGCACAATTACGCTAGCCGAGAACCTCGCAACTAGGTTGGGGCGACTCGGGTGACGAAAGCCACGGAACAGCCCCGCATTTAGGTTTGGTTGCGCTAGAGTGGTTCGGGACCGAAAAGTTAGGCCGAGCCTAGCCTTCCGAAGTCCGAGGGCGTACGCGCTGTGGTTGAGCTCAGTAAGGAAAAGGATTTTCCTTACAAACTATATCTGTGTAAGAAATCTCTACGATACACCATTATCATGCACAACCCTAACTCTTTTAGGAAATACCGTGATCTCCCGTATTAAAGCCCCAGAGAATTCGCCTAACCTAATCACACGAAGACAACCTAACTCGACTCGACCACGTGAGATCAGTTCTAGATTTTTCCGATCTCACTCGTCGCCATGTCGGCCGCGCGGCAGCGACTTTCCGCTGCCATCCAATCAAACCGCCGCTTGATTCGCGCATTTGCACGGCCCAACGATCAGGTGATTCCACCCGCTTATCATATAATTCCACCCGCCGATCAGGCGAGAGTGGCGAGGCAACGCGTGTGTGGTGTGGGGTTTGGGATGGGAGAGGAGGTAGAGGGGAGGTACGTGGATCCATGTTGCGGGGGGCACTCCCGCCACCCACTCGTCGCCACCCACTCGTCACCACCCATCCCGTCACTCATTCCCAGCCCTAATCCCCTCGCTCGTGCAGATCTCGAGGTCGATTGCCCCTCTGCCCACTGCCACCGCCACCACTCCCGCGCCGTCGCACACACCACAGGCATCGCCGGCATCGCAATCGACGCATACATGGCAGGCGTCGCGGGCATCGCATGCGTGCTGCAGCAGCACCCATACGCAAATACACTCCTGCAGCGCGGCGGCTGCAGCGGCGGGTGGCGGGCGGATGAGGCAGGCGATGCAGGCGAGGGTGAGGTGAGTGGAGGGGGGGTGAGTGGCCATGGAAGAGAGTGAGGATAGCTATTTGAGGGCTGGCCTAGACTGAGGGCTGGCCTGGTCTGAGGGCTGGCCTGGTCTGAGGGCTGGCCTGGTCTGAGGGCTGGCCTAAACTTTTTGGCTTCTTGGGGAGAAGGGCAAGAGAAAGCAATGAGTGCGCACTCGCTGCTGCTCACTGTCGCCCTCCTCTCTCTCGCCCTCCTCTCTCTCGCCCTCCTCTCTCTCGCCCTCCTCTCTCTCGCCCTCCTCTCTCTCGCCCTCCTCTCTATCACCCTCCTCTCTCTCGCCCTCCTCTCTCTCGCCCTCCTCTCTCTCGCCCTCCTCTCTCTCGCCCTTCTCCCTCTCGCCCTCCTCTCTCTCTCGCCCTTCTCCCTCTCGCCCTCCTCTCTCTCTCTCGCCCTCCTCTCTCTCTCTCGCCCTCCTCTCTCTCTCTCGACCTCCTCACCTCCACCTCCACTCCATCACTCACCTCGAATGCTTTTCTCATTCCTGGTTTAACTCCTCTGCCCTTTTCCCCCGTCTCTCCCCCCATCCGCCCCGCGCCAGCGAGTGTGAGGTGCGAGCGCCACTAAGGGCGGGAGGCCACAGCATGGAGCAGCTCAGATGCTTCACCACTCCTGCAGGTGTGTTTCCCTCTCTGTGTGCTTCGACCCTCTTTATGCGCACGCGTGGCACGTGCATGAGTTCGTGCGTGCGTGCGTTCGTGCGTGGGTGCGTGGGTGGGTGGGTGGCTATGATGCGAAAGACGCGTCCTGCGTCCTGGACGCATGCGTCCGGACGCAGGACGCTTCACCAGGACCAGAAAGACGCACCAAAAGACGCAGTCCCGGGCAGGCAAAAAAAACCCCGGGCAGGCAAAAAAACTTGTTACAGGGCATGGGATGAGGGGGGGGGGGGGGGGAACGTTCCACACTTTCAAGGCAAACTTGGCCCCAACATCAAATTTTCCCCCAAATCTCAAGATTAAGGTGAGTCACGTATTGTCACACACATGTCCCAAGGTCACATACACAGTTTATCGTATCACTGAAGAACACGCATACTATTAAACTACCACCTCAGCACTGCATGCAAGCAACCAGTCACTCATCCCCGTCCTCCTCGCTATCCTTCTTCTCATCCTGGTCCTTGTACTCATCGACCATCATGTCGTCCTCGTCCACCTCCCTCTCCCCATCCTCCTCCAACATGTACCCCTCGGGGAGGGGAGGGGTGGGAATGTTCCCCTCCACTACCCCCGCCTTCCTCACTTCCCCACTTGGCCCTGCAACAACTGCACCCTCGTGGTGGCCGAGCACAGCCTTCCAGTTGTGCGCCACGAACACCAGGTCGCGCACCTTCTCCGACCCCAACCTGTTCCTGCGCGCCGTGTGCACCCCATCCCACGTAGCCCATCCCCGCTCGCACGGAGAAGCGGAAACGGCCTGTGACACCGCACGGATTGCAAGGCCTGTCAGATCGGCATACTCCCAGCCGTTCATCTTCCACCACGTCGCCATGTCCCCCTTCCCTGCCTTCAGCTGCGCACGCCCCTCTATCGCCTCCTCCGTCCCAAAGCACCCCCTGCCCTCAATGTACGCCAGCATCCCCTCCTGCAGCGCCATCATCGTTCCAGTCCTCTCGCCATCCTTCTTCCAGTACTTGTCGACGAAGGCCCTCGAGCGCGACAGCCAGGCCTTCATCACCCTGGTGCACTCAATGTCCTTGAGATAGATCCCCTCCTCCTGGTTGACCGGGTTCAGAATCCGGCCTACCACGTGAAGAGGACAGGCCAAACTCTCGTCCCAACGTCGCCTCAAGTGCTCCAGCAACCCCTCCTTATCCGCATCGCTGAGCGGACAATCCGCACTCTCCAACAGCGCTGACAAGTTCTCCGTCAGCTGCAGCATCATGTCGTACATTGCCCCCATCATCCCCTTCGCCGGCCCATCCGTCTTCCTCATCACCTTGTACGGCAGCGCCATTACCTTCACGAAGGTATCCACCTTTGCCCACCACTCCACATCCAACACCGACGCCTCAAAGTCTTTCCCAGTCAGCTGCTTCCTCCCCTTCTCCCAATCCTTGTGCGTCACCATCGCCGTCAGCTGAGGGCGAATCTCACGCAGACGAGACACCGCTATGTATTGCGTCCCAAAGCGCGTGCCCGCCGGTCGCAGCGGCTGAAGCGACTTCTCCTCCCCGTGCAGCTCGGGACAGCGCAGGAAGGCACGCGTCCACGTGTGGCTGCGAATGAACGAAATCATGTCGGTCCCCACAGGCACGACCTCCTGCGCCCAAGCCATGCTGCCGAAGTCCTCCAACAGCAAGTCGTGCACATGAGTGGCGCAGGGGACGAACTCAATGTGCGGGTACTTCTTCTGTAGCAGCTTGGCGGCGGACACGTAGTTGCTGCCGCCGTCCGTGCAAATCGCTACGACGTGCTCCGGTCCAACCTTCTCGATGACCGGCTGCAGGACGCTCATGATAAACGCCCCGCTTTTTGTCTCCGCCTTGCAGTCGACCGCCTCCTGGAAAACCGCTCCACTGGCGTTGATGCAGAGGATGTTCATCTGCGCACGCCCGCTCTTGTCCCTCATCATATGGCTTGCGATCGTCATGCCAGGCTCCTTCCACGTCTTCGTAATGGGCGTCAACGCCTTCTCAATCTGCTGCTTGCACGCCAGCAGCCCGGCGCCTCCAACGTAACCACGCTTGGGGGGGACATAGCCGGTTCCGGCGGCGTTCACGGCGCGGCGCAGCATGTTGAGGAAGAGGGGGTGCTGGCATATAGTCTCCCCCAAGCGCGTCCCCGTGATGAAGAGGCAAATCGAATCGTCGGCAGCACGCTTCGCCGCCTTCCCCCCCTCGCCATACCAATCCTCCATCCGCCCCTTCTTTGCCTTCGTTTCCGCTCCGCCATGGCCGCTCACCGCAGTAAGTGCCGCCTCGAAAGCCCTCTCTTTATCCTTGTGCGCCGTAATCTTTGTCTCCTTCCCGCCGCGAATGGCGTCTGAAATGCTCTTAGGAACCTTCGCGCAAACAACACCGCCACCGCGCCGCACGTTCGCGTCGTTCCATTCGGCGAGATGCTGAGTGCACCGGCTACTACTGAAGGCGAACGATTTCTCGCACCAAAGGCACTCGCACTGCAATCCCTTTTTCGTCGGATCCTCGAATGTCCAAAAATGCCTATAAATATGGTGTTTGGGCTTTTGCGGTTTCTTCTCCACCCCATCACTAGTGAAACGCTGCGGGGGAGACTCGTCCTCGGCATGAACATCCCTAGATGCGTTAGATGACGTAGGTTGCTTGAGGAAGCCATAATGGAGCTAAGCTATGCTTGTAGGCTAAAACCTCTAGGGTTTTCGAAAGAGAATTGGTTGGGTGGGTGAAATGAGAAATGACTTGGTTGGATTGCTAAATGGGCTTGGTGGTAGGCACCTTGGTTGGGTTTTCTAGATGTGAAGTGGTTGAGAGGTATTTGGAATTCAATTGTTGCATGGGGGGTTATGAAATGTTGGGGGGGGGCTGTTTTTCAATGTCGAATTGGGGAATGGGGGGTCAAAATTTCGCGATTTCGACACTCGCGTCGAAATCGCGAGATTGAAATTCGTAATCTCGAAAAAAAAAAAAAATCGGGGCAGCCCGAAAAAATTTCGATCTGCGTCCTGCGTCTGGACGCGCGTCTTGCGTCCTAGCGTCCAGACGCTGCGTCCAGACCTTGCGTCCTCTGAGTGTCTTTCACATCATAGGTGGGTGGGTGCAAGGGTGGGTGAGTGTGTGGGTGGGTGGGTGTTGGATGTCAGAATCGCAAAAAGCAGTGGCTGATTGGGTCTGCAGTGATTGTAATCACCATCGCTTGCATCCACCGATTCTAGGGTCAAGATTGCTGGTCGCCAATCTTTATTCTCCTCCGGCTAGCATCCCATTTGTGGTCAAACAAAATATGTAGGTCAAACCAATATGATGCGTCCAGCGTGCAGACGCTTGACACTTGAGAGTTCGAGCATTAGGTGCAACATAGTGATTACAAGTGGGGTGTGTGTGTGGTGCGTCTGTACACTAGTGTAGCAGCAGCAACATAGTCCACCGCATCGTATCATGCTGCTGTATCTTGTTTGCCATCCTTCCGTTCCCATGGGGTGTGTGTGTGGCATCGCTGGGTGCATGCATGGCAGCTCTGGCGTCGGCATGGGGTTCAGCACCAAGGGCAGCAGCGGCATCGGAAGCACCCTCTGCGCCTGCCTCGCACTCCGCACCCGATGATGCAGAAGAGAGGTACTGCCGACGCGATGATACGTCTGTCCTTGTGTCCTCACGCAATAGCCTGCGATCTCCTGTAGTTTTCCTGCCTGTCCATTCGTCTCATTGCGGTTGCATGCATGCATGTGTGCCCCCTGTGCGTGCCGCCCTGCATGCTGCCCACACCCGCCGTGCACGGGCTGGGGTGCACGCTGTGCAGCATCGAGGTGACGTTTGTGCAGAGGGACGGCAGCGAGGCGGTGGTGCAGGTGCCGGTGGGCACCAACATGCTGCAGGCCGCACATGACAACGATATCGACCTTGAAGGTGTGTTGTGAGTCGCCTCAAAGCAACATGCTGCAGGCCGCACATGACAACGATATCGACCTTGAAGGTGTGTTGTGAGTCGCCTCAAAGCAACATGCTGCAGGCCGCACATGACAACGATATCGACCTTGAAGGTGTGTTGAGAGTCGCTCAAAGCAACATGCTGCAGGCCGCACATGACAACGATATCGACCTTGAAGGTGTGTTGAGAGTCGCTCAAAGCAACATGCTGCAGGCCGCACATGACAACGATATCGACCTTGAAGGTGCCCCTCCCTCCCTGCTCCCACCTTTGTGCCGCTCCCTGCACACACCTTCACCACAAGGCTCTCTCGTACTTGCATCGATATGAAGTGCAACATAGAAACAATGGATCCCCAGTTGCTCACACTGTAGAGTGATGTGTGTAAACATGATTTCTTTGGTGTTCATCTTCTTGCATGCATGCTGTGTGTGCTGCTCGTGCCATATGTGTGCCAGGTGCCTGCGAAGCATCGCTCGCCTGCTCCACCTGCCACGTCATCGTCATGGTGTGTTTTCATTCCAGTGCCTATGGCATGCACATACCGTCCTGGTTCATTATTGGGAAGCCATGCATCGTCTATGCATGCCATTCATCATCCACACATGCCATCATCCACACATGCCATTCATCATCCACACATGCCATTCATCATCCACACATGCCATTCATCATCCACACATGCCATTCATCGTCCATGCATGCAAGTCATCATCCACACGTGCCATTCATCGTGCATGCGTGCGTGCAATGCGGCCATGCGGGGTGGGCAGGACGAGGAGCAGTACAGCAAGATGCCCGAGCCAACAGATGAGGAGAACGACATGCTCGACCTCGCCTTCGGCCTCACAGAGACGTGAGTCCTCTCTACTTAATCCATTCCACGTGAAGCCTCTGCATCAACTGTATCTATACGATTCCACCTGCACGGCGTACCTCCTCGTGCACTGAGCCCGCATTGAGCTCACCTCACCGCGCCCACCTGCTCGTGTGTGCTTGTGTGGCCGTAGGTCGCGCCTTGGCTGTCAGATCATAGCAACCAGGGAGCTGGATGGCTTGCAACTGCTGCTGCCCGCAGCCACTGAGGACGTGCGCATCTCCCGTCTCTCCCTCACCCCTGCCGCCCCTGCCACCCCTGCCGCCCCTGCCACCCCTGCCGCCCCTGCCGCCCCTGCCACCCCTGCTACCCCTGCCGCCCCCGCCACCCCTGGTGCCGCTGCTGCTGCGGCTGCTGCATGTGGCTCCTCCACAGGTCTCGCCTGGGGTGCCAAGTGATAGCCACCAAGGGCCTGAACGGGCTGCGCCTCAAGCTGCCCTCCGCCACTCGCAACTTTGCAGTCGATGGCTTTGTGCCCAAGCCTCATTGACTACTTCTTCGAGCCTAAGCCTCATTGACAAGTGGTAGAAAACCCCATGGGGGGCCCATTGTAGTTCGTTGTGTGGTTGCACTAGGAATTTAGATGCTTCGTAGAAGAACTTTTGGTCGGTGGTAGTGCTTGTCAGAGTCCGTACAACAAAAATGACTAACTACGGTAGCAGGAGATGGGTGCATATGGCAAACCTTAGAAAGCGTTGTATTCTACCAGTATACAATACACCTCCCTGTAGCCTAACAAACCTAACACACATACGAATATAGTTTGACACACCCCAAAGGCTAGGTGAGGGGCATTAAGCAAGCAAGAGCGACAAATGGTCACAAGAACAGTCAACAAACGAAACTATTCAGGAGATGCAACTCAGGGCGGGTTAGGTCCTGCCATACCTACTGCCGTACCTGTCGTACCAGCAGCCGTACCTAGGTTAGGTTGGCCCCACGCTGCCCCTCACGTGCTGCCCTGCACGCGCCGCTACCGCTGCACTGTGCGCGCCCATTGTGCTGCCCCTCGCGCGCCCTTGTGCTGCCCTGCGCGTGCCGTTTGCGCTGCCCCGCGCGCACCCCTTGCTTTGCCCCGCGCGCGCCCTTCGCGCTGCCCTGTGCGCTACCACTACCTGTGCGACGCGTGCTATTCTGCCCCGCACGCTCGCCCTATCCCGTGCGATCGTGCTGCCCTGCCCCTTCGCACTGCCTCCCGTGCGCTGCTGCCGCTGCTACAGCCGCCGCTGCCGCTACAGCCGCCACTACTGCCGCCGCCGTTACTGCTGCAGCCGCCGCCGCTGCCGCTATAGCAGCCGCCGCTACAGCCGCCGCTGCTGCTACAGCCGCCGCTGCCTCTACAGTCACCGCTGCCGCTACAATTGCCGCTGCTGCAGCTGCCGCTACCGCTACAGCCACCAATTCTGCCGCTGCAATTGCCGATCGCTACAACCGCCGCCGCTGCCACTGCAGCCGCCACCCCTGCTACTACAGCAGCCGCCGCTGCCACTACAGCCGCTGCCGCCGCTGCTACGCGTACGCCGCACCGCCGCCGCTGCCGCCAGTGTGCTACTGCCGACGAGGGCCACTGCTTACCATGCCGTCGTCTACTGTACTCACCTTTGACGCAGAGGGCCGCCCGATCGAGTACGAGTCCTAGCTACTAGACTTACAGCTGTACATGCAGAGCAACCAATGGGGAAGTCTTCACGCTACTACACAAGATCGTTAACATGTGACGCAGAGGGCCGCCCGATCGAGTACGAGTCCTGGCTGCTAGACCCTGCACTAACCAACGGGGAAGTCTTCACACTACTACGCAAAAACGTTAACCACCTGCTTAGCACCTACCAGAATGAGCAGATACAAGATCTACTGCTCCCATCGAGGCTGATCGCCCTTGGAAAACCAGACGGAGGCGTCCGGCCCTCTACTAACACCTGTACCAAGGATGACGCCTTGGTTTTTGAGCACACGTTGGGGTCCCTTTCTGCCCCTGCTGAGCCGACAAACCCTGGCCCCACCGCTACTGACGAGCAGCGACAACAGTTTAAGATTGACCTCATTGCTCTTACACAATGGTTAGCACACAACACTACTGCCCAGCTTGCAGTCCGCTCTCACCTCTCGTAGGACCAGAGGTCCCACTTTTCCGGCTGAAAACGGCCAAGATGCTTTATGACATTATAGTTAAGCGGTACTCTTCCCCCTCTTCTGCCACCCTAGGCCGTCTTGCGCTGCCATTTCTTTTCCCCGAGCTGTCTGACTTCACCGCTGTAGCCGACCTCATGACTCACCTGCGCTCCCTTGACACGCGCTACCGTGCTACTATGAAGCCAGAATTTATGGCTGAGAACCAGCCCCCCATGTATCTCACAGTTACGAGTGCAATTGAGTGAACGAACGAGAATTGCACTATCGAAGCCAGAGTCTAATGAGCGAAGGCATGAGCGAAGAATATATAGCGAAACTACAGTGGTAACGGTAATGGAATGTGGTTGTCGCGCGACGGGCCTGGGACTGAGGTTGGGAAAAAGTGTCGAAGCGGAGGCCCGGAGCGCGGGTTACCCGCCGAGCCGTGAGGCCGGGGTGCGATGTGCGAAGGTGGCGGGCGGATTGTCGATGCGAGGGTTGCAAGTGGTGTCAAACATTATATGTGTTGTTATTGTGTAGGCTATAGTGGGTTAGCCTTTAGGGGGTACACAAAGTTAGGGTTTGCTATTTGTACTCCAACTCTCATAGTGAAATCACTTCTCTCATTCTAACATGGTATTACGAGCCTAGGCTAGGAACCTAGGACTGTTCCTAAGGGCCCACCGTTTCCGCTCGGAGCGCCCTCGTGCGCCGTCCTTTCTAGCGCCCTCGTGCACCTTGCTCCTAGTGCGCCCTCGTGCGCCGCCCCTTAGAGGCCCCGTCGGCCCCGTCGACCTTGCTTAGAGGCCCCGTCGGCCCCACATACCGCCCCTTAGCTGGCCCCGTAGATCTCACGCGCCGCCCCTTAGCGGCCCCGTCGACCTTACGCGCCGCCCCTTAGCGGGCCCCGTCGACCTCACGCGCCGCCCCATAGCGGCCCCGCTGGCCCCGTTGACCCGTGCGCCCGCCCCTTAGCAGCCCCGCTGGCCCTGTACACCCGTGCGCCCGCCCCTTAGCGGCCCCGCTGGCCCCATCGACCCCGTGCGCCCGCCCCTTAGCGGCCCCAGCTGGCCTCGTCGACCCCAAGCACCCGCCCCTTAGCGGCCCCGCTGGCCCCGTCGACCCCGTGCGCTCGCCCCTTAGCGGCCCCGCTGGCCCTGTACACCCGTGCACCCGCCCCTTAGCGGCCCCGTTGGCCCCGTCGACCCCGTGCACCCGCCCCTTAGCGGCCCCAGCTGGCCCCGTCGACCCCAAGCACCCGCCCCTTAGCGGCCCCGCTGGCCCCGTCGACCCCGTGCGCCCGCCCCTTAGCGGCCCCGCTGGCCCCGTCGGCCCCAAGCGCCGCCCCTTAGCGGCCCCCAGCTGGCCTCATCGACCCGTGCGCCCGCCCCTTAGCACCCCGTCGCGACACCCACGGCCCCGCCAGAACGAGCAGCCCAGCCCGAACCGAGCCGCCCGACCCGAACTGAGCTGCCCGAGCCGAGCCGCCCAGCCCGTACCAAGCCGCGCCACCTGAACCCAGCCGCGCCGCCCTACCAGAGCCGAGCCGCCCTACCTGAACCGAGCCGCGCCGCCCGTCCTGGACCGAGCCGCCCTACCTGACTCGCTGCCTACTGTTTTTAGGGTGCTACTACTGCTACTACTGCTGCTATGGCTAGCCCTCCTGTGCTAGATTTCGATGCTGAGGGCCGCCCAGTGAAGTTCGATACCTGGCTAGATGACCTACACCTCTTCCTATAGCTCACTGCCAAGGAGGACATCTCACTGTACGATCACGCCCTAGGCCATGCTACTGCTCCTACTGCTACTGCTGACAGCACTGCCCGCTCACAGTGGCAGACTCGTGACGCCCACGCCCGCTTCGCTATTCGCAACTCCCTGCCGATAGACGAGCGCGAGCACTTTGGCCAGCACAAGACTGCACAGGCACTGTACACCGCTGTCGTTGCCCCCTACTCCTCACCTGCCTCTGCTGCGCTAGGCCGTCTCTCACTCCCCTACTTGTTTCCCGACCTGGCCTCGTTCCACACAGTCGCTGACCTCATCACGCACCTCCGTACTAGTGAGGCCCGCTTTCGTGCCGCAATGCCCGACGAGTTTCTTGCCACCAACCCCCCCCCGCTCTGGCTCACTCTCTACCACCTAGTCACCCGCCTCCCTGACACTCTGCGTGCTGTCAGGGACCACTTCCTAGCTCGCTGCCCCACTGAGCTCACCATTGCCCTCCTCGAGAAGGAACTGCTTGCAGCTGAGTCTAGCATAGTCGCTGTCGGCGCCTCTCGTGGCGACCCCCGCACCCCTTTCTTCGAGGGGTGTTCCCCTTCCCCTCTTCTTCCCTCTGTCGCCTCTGCTTCTGCTGTCGACCTCCTTGGTGCTGAGAAGGTCGGGGCTGCGTCTGCTTCGAGCGGGCGCCGCAGCGGCAAGGGCAAAGGGGGCAAGGGCGGCGGAGGTGACTGCCGGGGGATTCGGTGGTGGGGGTGGTGGCGGCGGTGGGGGTGGTGGCGGGGCTGGTGGAGCTAGTGGCACCGGTGGGGGTGGTGGTGGCAACGGCGGGGGCGGTGGCAGGGGCGGGGGCGGTGGTGGGGGCGGCGGTGGACGCGGCGGCGGCAGGGGAGGAGGTGGTCGAGGCGGTGGTGGCGGCGGTGGTGGTCGTGGAGGCACTGGCGGTGGCCAGAGCCTACAGCACTCTCCGTCGCCCCAGGATCTCCGTGAGTGGTAGACTCGGCACGGGTGGGGTGGTGGCCTTAGCTGCACGTACGTCATCCGCACTGGTGACCGCACTGGTCAGACGTGTGGGAGGGCGCACCCACGCAGCGGTGCTTCTCACGCCTTGACGACGCTTGGCGTACTCAGTTCCCTGACGCCACTGAGCTGCCCCGCTGGGCTGATCTGATGAAGCAAAACATTGATATCTTTGCTCTAGACTTTGATGCTATTCTCTCTACCATGTATGTGATGTCTATTAGTGGAGAGGGTGCCCAGTACCTGAGTGTTCCGCCCGACCCGGGCATTCGACCTGGTGAGGCTACCGCTCTAGGTGCTAGAGTGTCTGCTACCCCAGGTGCTGGTGAGGCAGCTACTCTAGGTGCTGGTGCGTCTGCGTCCCCTGTTACTGACTCGACTGAGGCACTGCACACCTTTACACTAGACTCAGGTGCCTCCCGCTGTTTCTTTCATGACCGCACGACTCTTGAGCAGCTTGCTCGGCCCGTTGCAGTCTCTCTCGCTGACCCCTCTGGGGGTCCAGTCCTTGCGACCTTCTCCACTGTCCTCCCCTGTCTGGCCGTCCCGTCGGGCACACTGTCCGGTCTCTACCTCCCCTCATTCTCTACGAACTTGGTGGCGGGTAGTGCGCTCTAGGACAGGGGTGTCCACCAG